GGGATATCAAACAGATGGTGTTAGTGCAAGCGGCAAACCATTGGGTTGGATTTTCAAACATTAGTAAATAATCAAAATATTGATAACAACCCACAAATTAAAGAACAGCTTCAGCAATTGCAACAACAACAACAACAGCAACAACAATCTATACAACAAACATTACAATCTTATCAACAACAACAACATCAACAGTATCAACAAAGACAACAACAATACCAACAACAATATCAACAACCTTACTCTAGTCCTTCCCCACCCCAACAACAACAATCACCTTATAATGAAAACGTTGATTCACCAATTCAACAACAAACTCAAAATAATTTAAATTTACAATCATCAATTTTAGAACAAATTCAACAATTACAACAACAACAACAAAATATACAACAGCAGCAACAACAGTTTTTAAATTTAGATAATAATCAAGGTGTAGAGCCAATTCCACCATTACAACTACAACAACCATCACAAAATATTCCAACACAACTTCAATTACAACAAATTCAACATTTATTACAACAACAACAGCAACAACAGCAACAACAACAACAGCAACAGCAACAACCATTACAACAGCCATTACAACAACAACAGCAACAACCATTACAACAACCACAACAACAACAACCATTACAACAAAATTTCGATAATCAAATTAAATATCAAACCAATCAACAAAATCAATTTTTTAATACACCAATTTTAGATCAACAAATTTTAACTTCAATTAAACCAACCTATTCACAAATTGCTAAAACAAATATACCAAATCTTCAAGCTACAAATAGTAGTACACCACCATTAGAAGATTTAACAGGTGAATCATCAAATAAAAATAAAAATAAAGGTAAACAAAATAAAACAGATAAAGCTTCACAATCATTTAATACCAGCCCAAATTCAACAAAGGGTAAAGGTAAAAAATCAACAACACCAACAACAACCACCACCACTACCACATCATATAAAAATGAAAAAACCTCACCATTACAATCATCATCATTATCAATAAATACATTACCAACCGATATTGTTGGAATATCAAATGATAATTTAGATGACGATGAAAAAAAGAAATCAATCAATAGAATTAATCAAAATTTAGCAAGCAGAAATTATCGTCAAAGAAGAAAAGAATATATTAAAGAAATTGAAAATAAAATGGCAGCACTTACATTTGAAAATCATCAATTAAAAAAAGAAAATGAATCATTAAAGGTAATTTATTATTTAACTATATTCATTATTCAATTATTATAAATTATTAATTTTAATTTTTTTTTTATTAGGAAACTGGTGGTGTTGAGGTTATGAGACCCGAACCAGAGTTAATTACGATGGTTATGGAGGGCAAACAAATTATTATTCAATTAAGTCAAGCCCTTAAAAAGAGTGATGATAGAACATTAATTTATTTATTACATTTATATCATTGCTCTATTACAAAAAGATATTCAATTGTAGAGAGAGAAGTCGAAAAAATTGTTCATCCCTACACTCAATCGAAATTAGCATCCATGGGCTACGTTCCAAAGTCTGATAAAATGTTTTTAAATATTATTGCAGGGCCCGCAAGTGACTCATGGTTTCAATTATTCAAAAAGGAAGCCGATATTAAACCAGAACAAGAGGTTAAATTGGAGGCATTAAGATCACAACATAGCAAAATTGATAGTGCATTGTTGGCTGAAAGAGAAGAGTTGGATAAGGATATAAAAAGATTTTATTATACCAAAATTTTAGTACTCCCAAATAATCCATTAGTTATTGGCGATATTCCAGCACAACCTTATGGTGGCGAGCTTTCACAGGCACCTATTACAAATAGTCCTTTGGAGATAAGTCAACTTTTAGATTTTGCAGGTAATTAGAATCGTAAAAAAGAATTTATTCTTCATAGAAATTTAATGTGGATACACTAGCATCACTTAGCTCAATTTTATCTCCAAGACAAGAGGCCATGTTATTAGTTAGAGTCCATTTTTACACTACTTATGATATTGCTCAAATGGAGTTATTAAAAGATGTATGGACCAATATCGTATCATCTAAAAACTTTACTGGTCCTTTAAATATTGCCGAAGCTTTAAAAAAAATGTCAGAAACAACAAATGCACAACCAACTATTGATACAATCGTTAAACCACCACAATTTCATCAATATACACCAAAATCTTTATCTCAAAAACTAAATAATAGTGATAATAATTTTACATTTATTAATAATAATAATTTTTCATCCCCACCAACTTCGTCATCATCATCAAAAAAACAATCTAAAAACAATATTAATAATAGTATTGATAATAATAATAATAATAATAGTAATAATAGTAATAATAATAATAATAATAATCAAAGTAATGGTAGTCAAAATACTATTATTAATAATAGTATTCCAAATAATATTAATTTATCAAATATACCCTTAAATGTAACATCAAATGATACAACATCTCCATATTCGACATCTAAAAAATACCAATGGTATAGTTATCCTCAACAACCTCCACCATCTTAAAAGTTTTATTTTTTTTAAAAAAAATAGAAAAAGAAAAGAAATAAAATTATTCAATTTTTTTTTTTAAAAAATATTTATTTGTATAATATTAATAATAAATATTAGTTTTTATTTGTGTATTTCTTTATTTAATTTAAATTATATGGTATCATTAAATTGATCTTTTTCTTTTCAAATAAATTATTTGATATTAATTGTTCTAAATTTGATTTTAAAATTCTAGTTTCTTTATTTAATAGATCGATCTTATTCTTTGATTCCCCTAAAATTAAATTCAAGTTTTCAATTTTCTCTTCATTATCCTTGATTGATTGGTTATTTTTTGATATTGCTTGTTGTTTTTGTGTGAATTGAACTACTAAACGGTCAATAAATTTTTTACTTGACTTTATCTCTAATATTTGTCTAACTCTGTTATTTGTTAATTTATTTAAAATTTGATTTAAAATATTTGAATATTCTTTACATTGAGCACTTGTTACAGAGTCTTCATTTAATATTTGATCAAATACTGATGAAGATGATTTTTCAATTTCGTTTATTCTATTATTTAAAAATATATCTAACTATAATTTTTCAAATAAAAAAATATTATTAGTTTTTAATTATTTTTATTAATAAAAATTAAAATATCTTACTTGGTATAATTCATCTAAAAATTGATTTCTTAATGGTCTATAGGATAAAATAGTTTCATTTGGGTCATATGATTCTTGTATTTCTTTTTTTTCTTTTTCTTGTTTTTCTTCTTTTTTATTATTTGTTTCATTATTACTTTCAATTTTAAATTGATCATTACTACTTTCTTCTAATGTAATTTCAAAGTCATTTGAAGATTCTTCTACAATTTCAATAGTATTCATTGAAAAATCGTCACCCCATTGAATTGCTTGTGAATTTGATTCAGTTAATGGTTCTAAATTATCTTCCCAAACAATATTTGGTTGATCACTATTTTCCTCAGATTTAATATCCATACACCAATCAATTTCTATATTGTTATTATTATTATTATTACTATTGTTTTTATCATCATTATTATTATTTTTATTATTTTTATTATTTTCTATTTGTTTGTTTGGGTTTAAAATGGTTTCTCTTTCAATCATTGTTATATTTCCATATTTTATTAAGAATGATAATAATGGTAATGGATTATCTTTTTCTTCTAATACTACATTTGTTAAATTTAATATATCTTTATAATATTCTATTGCACTTTTAATTTGTTCATTATTTAATAATTGTTTTGAAATTTCGTCAAATATTGAATTTAATTGAAATGGTAGTTCTAAAATTTCTTCTCTAATTTTTTCACCTGTAATACCTAAATCACTGCAAGCTTTTTTAAATGTATTAATTGAAGTATTTTTAGTTTTTTCATATGATTTCTTTGAATCTTCTTCTAAAACCTTTATTGATTTTTCAATTGTTTTTTTTAATGCTGGTCTAAAAGGGGTATAAAAGAAATATGTTATTAATATTGTAAAATATAAAAGTAGTATTATTCATTTATATATTTAATTGGTTAGTTACATTTCATAATTTAAATTGTTTGTAAATATTTGACAAGATTCTGCAATGTGGTAGTAGTCTTTTTCGTATGTTTTAATTACTTCATACCATTTTTGAGTATTTGGATTTGAATAGTTACCAAATAAAGTCTTTGTGTTTCCTCCTGGTAATTGCTCGAAATCTTTAAATATTTTTTGACATTCAAAATAGTTATATTGCTCTAATGTAATTTATTTTATGTTAGAATTTGTTTTTTAATTTGTTTTTGTAATATTTATATATATATAATTACTTTTTTCTTTTAAAGTTTGTTCACATGCATCATTTATTAATTGAAGTAATGATGATTGTGATCTTTTCCAATGTTGTGCTATTTTCTTTCTATCTAATAACCATTCTAATAATTTATTACCTGGTATATCTATTACGTCTTCAGATACATTGATATTAACTTTACTTTTAATTTTTGTTGACATGATTTAATAATTAATTTTCATAAAATAAAAAAATAAGAAAAATTTAAAAAAAAATAAAAAAAAGAAAATTTTAAAAAAAAATAAATACAAAATTCAAAAAAAATAAATAAATTATAATGAAAAAATTAATTGATTTTAAATCCATTGTTATAATTATTGAATAAATAAATAAATAATGTCTGATATCCTATAAATTGTTTTCCTTTTAATTATTTAATTTTTTTTTTTTTTTTTATTTATAATTTTATATATTTGATTTCGTTTTACATTTATTAAATTAAAAAAATTAATTGATTGTTTTATTTGAATGGTTGATTGATTGTTTAAATTTTATATTGATTTTAATTGTAATTTATATTTAATGTCTTTCAAGTCTTTTTTGTTTTAATTTATCTTCATCTTCAAAGAAAGTAACATAATCAATTTCTTGATTTGAATAGTATTTTGGGATATCTAATTCTAAAGGTGGAAAAAAAAAGAGTATATTAATATATTTTCGAGTATAAATGAAAAAGTATTGGGTGTGGGTTTAGTGATTTATTTGTAAAATGCATTTCTCTTACTTTCACCTTCGACTGGGACAACTTGATGTGGACCAACACAATCAACTTTTCCTTTTCTAAATAAACTAGCTTTTTGAACTGGATTCATAGCGAAACCATTTTCTCTATGAACTCTGTGGAATTGTGGTGATTTTTCATATTTGATTTCACCTTTTTGAGTACTACCAAAGAAACGAAGGTAGGTTTGTGTAGATCTATTTTTATAAAACAATAATTAGAAAAAGTTTTATTTATATATTATATAAAATAATTTGTAAATTTGTTTTGTTGTTGTCATTATTACTACTATTATTGTTATTATTACTATTTCATGAAATCCAAAATGTTATATAATGTTTAATTTTAAATATCTAATGATCATTCTTTATATTGTTTTGTTGTTATTGCTTTTACTCTACTATTATTATTATTATTGTATTTGTAATTGTTATGGTAATTGTAATTATTATTGTTATTTTATTTTTTAATGATCATGATCATGATCATTATGATGATTGATCAATTTTGTAACATATGTTTGTTGAAATTTTACCTATAATCGGTAGAATCATAAATTGCTTTTCTTGATTCTGGAACTGGAATATTATTTAAATGTTCTCTGATATTTTCAATGACTGGTTCACCGTTAATTGTTGCCATTTTATTATATGGTTTTGTATTTACACAAAAAAAAAAACTTTAAATGAAAAAAAATTTTAAAAAAATTTATGAAAAAAATTTAAAAAAAATAAAAAAAATTTTTTTTTTATTTTTTAAAATTTTTTCAATTTTTTTTTTTAATAGTCCAAAATATAAATTAAATAAATAAAATAATAATAATGGTTTTAATAAATATGATATTAAATACAAAAGGAAAATAAAGAAAGAAAAAAATTTTTAAAAAAAATAAATGTTTTTACCTTTTTTTTATTTTTTTTTTTTTTTTGAAAATTTTTAAGAAAAAAATAATTTATAAATAGTATTAATTTTTATTATTACTATTATTGTTGATAATAATAACAAATATAGATACTTTATATTTTAAAGTATTTAAAAATAAATATATTTCAAATTTAATTTTTGGTTTTTTTAATTATGATAAAAAATTAAATAATTTAAATTTAGGTTCAATAATAGAAAATTATTTCAATTAAAAATTCAAAGCTATTTGTATAATAAAGAAAGGAATAATGATAAAGAATGTCGACTACTATTTAAAAACATCAATTTATAAAAAAGAATTTTTTTCATCACCAATCATTGCTTTTGAGGAATTCAAATTAATATACAACGATTTTAAACATGATTTTAATAAAATTTCAAAGAATACAATATTGAAACTGTGCTTTTTAAATAGGAATCATTCAAAGGAACTCATTCAATATTTAATTGATTTTCATTCATTCAAGCTTGATGTTTATCACTTTGAATTATATTATCAATTATTGTATAACCATTACGTAAAGGAGGATGACACAGAGGATAATGAGGATCCATTTTCATCATCGAGAAAAAACATCAATTTATTCAACTTTATAATAAATTGTTTTAAGAATCTTGCTTCAATCACCTATATCAAGGACCCAATTATAAAACCAATAAATCAAAAATAAAAAAATTTAAACCTATAATCCAATACAAATATTTGATAAAATTCATCGATCATAAAAAAATTTACAATATTGCAGTATGAAAAAGATGCATCAAATGTTTTAATATTTTATTTGATATCTTGTTTTCTCTTATATCCATTTTTCAAAATAATAAAAAAAAAAAAAAAAAAAAATTAATCCACTTTTTCAAAACCATTTTTAGAATTATTTCTGGGTTTTTGTTGTGTTAATTATTTTTATGGTGTGCCACATAGGGTTGGATATTTTTTGTAAATTCAAAAAATATTTCTTTTTTTTTTCTAACCATTTTTTATTCTACATACTCCATTACCTTTTTTTTATTAGTTTATCTTTCTTTTTTTCCTTTTATTTTTAAAAATATCTTTTCTTTTAGAGGAAAATATCTAATAATTTTTTTTTTATTTTTTTTTATCGATGGCAAAATTTTTTATTTTTTTTGATTTTGATTTTTTATTTTTTTTTTTCTTTTTAATAATTTTTGATTATTTTTGTTTAAAACATTACAAATAAAAAATGAAATATAAAATATTTCTACTTTTTTTATTTTTTATAAATTTTATTTTATTTTCAAATGGACAAGATTATTATAATGTTACCTATATTAATTTAGTAGAGGATAATTACTCATATCGTAAAAATCAAATTACTTTATAAATAAATTATAATTTTTAACATTTATTAATTTTTTTATATTTTTTTAATTTTTTTTCATTTTATTTCGTAATTAGAATCAGAGGGGTGTAATCCTTATCTTTTTGTAGTTGTTAAATCAAATAAACTAATAACTCAATTTCAATTGTATAATAGTAATAACAATCTTATATCATCGAACCAATCACCTTTCAAGTTAGAATATAAAAACTCATTGTTTTATATAAGTGGATATTTTAAAGTAAACATTGCATATGGCACATCGTTTGATACAATAAAATATGCAGGTATCAATCAAGGTCAAAATCAGGTTACAATATTATTAGATACAAAATTTTCATATGAATGCGAAATAGCACCAAATTTAAAACCAAAGAATATAATAAAGATTACTAAACCTTTAAAAATACAAAGTTATTTTAATGTATATTTCGAAAATTTAAAAAAACCTATTCAAACAATAGGTAAAGCACAACCTATTGATATCTACCCATTCCAACTTTCCTATATCAAATCAGAGCCATATTTTATGCAATTCAGATTAGATTTTTTAGTTGGTTCTGCTACAGTACAAGCACCAAAATATTTAAACTTTTCATGTGACTATGACACTGACCGTTCATTCCTTTTATCAATAGAGTCACCAATTACAAGTTTGTATTTAAAAAATAAATATAGATTTGTATTAGATTTTAACTTTAAACTAATTTATTTTTTATTTTATTTTAGGTAGTGATCCAGATAAGATTAGCTCATTTTTGAAATTCCCTAATTCATTTGAATATGAATCATCAAATAATTGGGATATAAATAATATTTTTATTTATAATGCAACTGAACCATTATTTTTTTATTCAAAAGTAGACAGATATCTACTAGAAACTGATAATAACCAATATACAATTCTTGTAACTGGAAATGAAAAAAAAGGTCAATATCTTTTCTCTACTTCATATTTTGATTCAAAAAGAGATGAATCAGCCATCGATGCAAATATTGCATTAAATATTTATAACAATCCCCCTCTTGATATTCAGACTGTTTCTAATCTCGGTAATTATTATTATTTTAAACAGGTGTATTGAGTATAATGACTTAAAATTAATCTATTTTATTAATATAGGCGTTGGCTCAGCCATTTCATCCATATCTGTTTCCCAAATTATTATAAACTCAATATCTTCTTATTTACAACAATTTGAATTTGATTGTAGCTATCCAGATAACTATAATTTTGTTTTATTAATTGGAAATTGTGAACCATTAAAATTAACATATCCATATGGTATTTCTTCGTTGGTTTCTGGTTCAGCAAAATATAGGGTGATTATTATTTTTTTGTTAATAAAATTTTATATAAAAAAATAATATTAATATTTCTTTTTTATTATTTTTTTTTCTCAGTTTTCATATTTTCCAAATTTAAATAATAACCTTTTTAAAGTAGAGATTCAAACTGATGTAGCAGGAGCTGTGTTAAATACACCCAGTGAAACAAAACAAGATATTGAACCACCAATATTAAAATCTTTCGACATTACCTATCCAAGAGGTGGCGGAGGCAACTATGCAGTATTAACAGTTTCAATCTATGATGAATCTGCGAATGGTGGATCCGGTTTTTCTTTTTTATACTATGATGGAAATTACATAGACGCAAGTGATAGAATATCAGGCGATAAGTATGATGGTGTATATCAAAAATTAATATTTTTATCATTTAATGATAATCAATGTTATCTTTTAGATGTCGCCACAAACAACGTTTCATGCGCTTTTGCTGTGGGAACACTCGAACTTAACCAAAATGTTCAATACTATTTTAGTGTAGATCCATTAACAACAATTCCAAAACTAGTTGGTAAGCAATAGATGTTTAATAAATAAAAACCTCATTGTCTTTACGATACTAATATATTTTTTAATAATAGACCATAATTTCCAAATTGATGACTTTTCATTTGAAAGTTCAGTGTATGATTTATCAGAAACAGGTGCATTGGTTACAGTATATTTAAATTTTACAACATCAAAACCAGATATCCCAATTTCATTCTTTATTTTAGATAGAGTATATGCTGATAAATTTATTGATATCAATAGTATTTCAAATCGTTATTTAATGGATCCAAAATTAAAGAAATTCAAAATCACATTTTACATTCCACAAAAACTATGTACTGGTACTCTTCCCTATATGTTTATAATTTATGGTAAAAAATTTACAAATGATTATTTTTATTCTAAATTTGGAGAAGCTGCAAATTTAAATATTGTTTCAAATGGTATATATTATATTTTAAAAAAAAAAAAAAATTTATACTAATTCCTTTTTTTTAAAATAGATTGTTATGAACTTCCACCAGCAATTTCAACGCTATCATTTATATCCGGTAATAGTAATTTACAATTAAATACAGAAACAGTTATTGGTTGGCAATTTACAATTGAAAGTAAAGTTAAAATAGCAAGTGCATATTTCCATGTAATTTCCGATTTTGATAAGCAAGGTTATAAATATGAATTCAAACCAAATTCAATTTCTTTCAGTGATTCCTTAAATTTTACAGTAGACCCAACTACAACTAGAACCCAAACATTCAAAATCTATAATGTAACATTAATTGATGAAAGAGGCATCAGATCAGACTATATTGATAACTATGATGTTCATTATATTAATACTAAAAGCACCATACCCAAATATCCACCACCAATTTCGCCATTTTATAAACTTTCGACATTTAAAAATCTGTGTGAATTTAAAATTAATAGTCCATTTTTACCAGAAACCACATTACCAACCTTAGGTCAAATTAGCCCACTAACACAAGGCTCGATAAATAATGATTTAACAATAACACTAACTGTTAATTTCGTTACACAAGATGATACAGGATTATCAAAAAAACACATTCCACAATTATATTTAGAGATATTCCCAAACTTTGGTAATATTATAATTATTCAATGTGAAACCACAAATTCAATATATTTAAATGAAAATAGGGTGTCCTCAAATACTGCCGAATGTAAAGCTCCAATGTCAATAGGTTTAATTAATTTTTTGACAATCTCAGTCTATGGCATAGTTGATACAAGTTTAAATGTTGCTGGCTATACTGCATCTGAAATTAATACAAATAGTGGTGTTTATTCTCTTCCAGTAATAATTAAACCAATCATTAGTAGTCATACATCACTCACAGTTAATAATGATAAACTAACACTCTTTGGTAAAAACTTTCCTATGTCAAATGGAAATGCAATTTTAGTATATAGCAATACAAACACTGAAATTCCCCTTTCATTTAACTATGTATCAAACGTTATGGTTATAATAAATATTCCCAAGAGTGATCAACAATTTATTATTTTCACAAACTCCTCTGAAGGTCAGGAATCTAATAAATATCAAGTAACCTATCTCGAAAAAGAAGACTCGTCCTCATCCTCATCATCATCCGAACCACCAATCGTTAAATGCCTAAATAACTGTGGTGGACCAACTAGAGGTGTATGTATAGAGAATATTGGTTGCCGTTGTATTGCTCCCTACAGTGGTATTAGTTGTTTATCAGAAACCATTAAAATTCCAAAACCACAAATAAATGAAACATCGCCTGACTCAAGAAACGAAATTCCAGTTAGTGGAACTGATATTAAATTAAACACAATCATTTCAGTAGTTGCTATAAAAGAATTGGATATTTCGGGTAATCAAATAAATATTCATTATCTTAATGAATGGAATTTTACAACCATTTCAGACTCAAATTATACCTATGTTTCAAATATAGCTAAAAATCAGCAAAACGTTTCAACTATAAAAGTTAATATGGAATGGCATGAACAATCGTCAACCATCACTTTTGCAAATCAAAACTTTACCATAAACCCATTTAGCTTAAAATACTATATAATTTTAGATGAATACCCATTCACATCAAAACTACACTCTCTCCATCTTATTATCAAATCAGAATTCAAGAGTTCACAAACCAAAGATATTTGTTCAAGTAAAGAAATATCCTTAAATGATGGAAGTGACTATATGACATTAAATATAGGTAAATACAGCTTTGAAGGAAAGTTCATAAAGAAAGGAGTAATCAACAGCGAAGATAGAATTGTATCAATTAGCAACACTCTAGTAGATAACTTTGACACCAATAGTATCAACATAAATGAAACTGAAAAAGACTCTTCTAATCAACAAACATCATATATAGCAATTCATATACCATATTATAATACCAAAGCAATATTAGATCCTAGCTTTTCAGTTTTAATTGATCCAAATGGATCATCAAAAAATTCAGCCAATTCAATTTGTTCTGGATCATCCAAGAAATTAACAGCTGCTCAAATTGTTGGTATTGTTGTAGGTGGTGCTGTATTTTTAGTTATAATTGTATTAATAATAATGTTGAAATTTTCAAAATCTTCAAGATTTTTAAGTTTGAAAATTTTTATTTATAAAAGATTTAGATCAAAATAATTAAATAAAAAATAAACTATAGTTATTTATTAATTGTAAAAATAAAAATATAAAAATAAAAAATTGATTTATAAAAGTATAATTAAATACTATTTTATTTAATAATTTGTAAATATATTTATTTGATATTATAAATTAAAGGATTTAAAATTAATTAAATTTTTAATTACCTTTTATTTTATATGCATAATAAATAAAAACATCGGATTTAAAAATAAAAAACTAAATATATGTGGAAAAAAAAATTTATGATTAATAGTATTTTTTTAAAAAATTGAATGAAAAAAAAAAAAACACTAAATATATTATTTTTAAAACTATTAATTATTAAAACTAATAATATTATTATTTATAATATTTTATAATTATTATTTGAACTATTGAAATGATTATGATTGTGATTATTATTATTTTTTTGGTTGAATTAAAAAAAAAAAAAATATTTTTTTTTTTTTAAAATCTTATTATTTAAACCTTGCTTGTTAATGATTGTTTCTCTTCCTTTTGTTTCTTTAAAGCCTTTTTATGCTTTACAACTGAAAGATTAGCATCGACCTTATCTGGTAAATAAAGACTGACTATAGCGATAACAACATAGATTATGGAGAGGTTTATAAATAAGAGCCAAGGAATACTACGATTTGAAGACCAACTAAACAATGCACCAGAGAGAGTTGGACCAAATGAACGGAGCATACTATTGATTGATTGAGTTGTACCTTGAGTTAAACCTTGGATTTCAGATCTACAAACTGTACCAATCATAGCAGAAACCAATGGTAAACCATTCATAAAACCAACTGAAATGATTGGAACTGAAATGAAAATCAATACCCATACCATTGTTGTACCAGATTTAATGTAACCAACATATGTTAATGGGAAGAGTGCCATACCAATGGAAAGAAGAATCATACCCATAGTGAATTGACGTTTAAGACCAATTGTTAGTGAGAGTTTTTTGAAAAGAGTAACTTGCCAAACGAAACCAAAGAAACCTAAAATTGTAAAAATAATACCGGTGCCTGATGGCTCGAAACCTAAACCTTTCAAATCGATTGATAAAGCAGAGAATAATACCAATGAGAGAAGTAAACCACCATTGCTGTAACTATTCAAACCACCTACTACGATTAACAATAAAACTGCACGATCGTTAATGATCATCCTCATACCATCTTTAAAGCTAATATTGTCTGATTTCTTTTCTTCTTTCTTTTCATTTGAATTTGAAGTTAAGGTTGATTCATTTTCATCATCATTTGTTGAGTTTGTATTATTATTACTGTTGTTATCTTCTGATTTCTTAGATTCATTTAAAGCTTGATAATGATGTGAATAATCTAATTTAGTATATTTTGGATGAGTTTCTGGATGAATAAATAATACCATTGCTGCTGAGAGTAAAACAATAACACCACCTATTAAGCATGCATAGAAATACGGATTTGGTGTATCACTAAAGATCTTGACTACAAAACCACCCAAGGACGAACTAATACAACGAGATAAAGCATAAGTACCACCTAAATAAGCAAAAACTGAAGCTCTGTTTCTTTTATCGACCATATCAGCCAAAGTAGCTTGACAAAGCGCTGTAGTATTACTAAATAAACCTTCTAGCATTCTGAGACCAATTGCAAACCAGACATTAGGCATATTAGAAAAAATGACTGTACCAACACCTGTAGCGAATAATGACATTACTAAAAATGGTTTTCTACCATATTTATCAGAAAAGTGACTAAAAAATAAAGGAGAAAAAAAATTAATAAATATTTTATTAAATTTTATAATTATATTTTAATTAATAACACTTACCCTAAATAAAAACCTGACCCAAATCTTGCAAAACTATAAACACCGACCAATAAACCAGATAAATAACCTTCGTCTTCTTCTGGATATCCCCATTTTTTAGTTAAGAGTTGTGGAAGGAATGGTTGAATTAATGTTAATGACAAACCATCACAGAAAACTGCGAAATAAATTACCATAACTCTGATCCAAATATGTCTTGGGATTGGTGGTGGTGGTGAAGAATCGCCCTCTTCTATTTGAACTTCATCTTCGTCACCATTACTACTGCCATCATGATGATGATCGTCTAGAATAACTCCGTCATTTTTAGAGTCATCGTCATTATCATCTGCATGATTTAATTCATCCAATTCGATTTCGTGAACTGAATTACTTGTGGTTGTGGTTGTGGTTGTTGTGGTAGTAGTAGTGGGCTTGTTTTTGGTTTTATTGGTACTATTACTTAATCTAATATCGGTGAAATCACTTTCGTTATAATTACTATCGCCACCATTATTGATACGAGTTAAATCTTCATAACTATTTGTATTATTATTATTACCATTGCTATTATTACGGTCATCTGTAGCATCATGATCATCATCTATAAATGATTCATTTTCGTTGTGTGGCATTATTTTTTATTATATGTGTGTTTTTGAAAAATGAAAAAAAAAAGTGGAAAATAGGGGGAAATAAAAAAAAATGATGGGGTGAAATTTTAAAAAAAAAATATGGAATGGAATTATATAATTATATAAATGATTTGATGATTATATATATAAATATTATTTGTTCTTTTTTTTTTTTTTATTATTTAACAATTGCTCGTTATTATATTTTATTTTGTTTGCAAAAAAAAAATTACAGATATATCATTTGAAAATATTAAACTATTAAGTTATTTTTATATAAAATAAATAAATAAACATTTAATTATTACACACACACACAAATGATAAAAAAAAAAAAAAAAAATATTTAAAAATAAAATAATGTTACAAAATATAAAAATAATAAATAATATTTTATAGAAAAATAAAAAATAGTGTGTTTTTAGAAAAAAAATAAAAAAAAATAAAAAAAATAAAAAAAAAATAAAAAAAAATAAAATAAATAAAAACGTAAATGGTGCGATTGTGGGAGAATGAGAGAGAAAAAGGTGAAGAAAATAATAAGTATTATAAATTATTATATATAATTGAAATATAATAATACTATAAATTAATTTAAATCTTTTTTTTTTCTTTTTATTTATTTTTTAAAAATTTTATCTTTTAAAACTTATTAATTAAATTTAAATATAAATTTAAATAAAATTAAAATTCTTTTTTATTTTATAATTTATTTTTTTTATTTTTTTATTTTTTTTATTTTTTTTTTTATTTTTTTTATTTTTTCATTTTATATGTAAATTATCTGTATAAATTAAAATATAAATAGATAGGGGAAATAAAATAAATATATACCTTCGAGACAGAAACACTTATTGTGCAAAAGGAAAAAAAAAACAAAATAAATTGATTTCAAAAAAAAAAAAAAAAAAAAAATATTTTATTTTATTTTATTTTATTTTTATTTTTATTTATTTTTCCCACGCACAGAACCCATCATGTGAATATTCCAATTGTTCCATGACATTTTTGACATTAAAATAAAAACAATAATTTGTTAAATTAACCCAATTAATATATAAATTTACATTTAATAAATCAATTATATTAAAATATTATTTATTATTTAATTTGGGTAATTTTGATTATAATTTATTTATACTTTATACTTTATTTATAGTTATTTTTCTTTTTTTTTCTTTTTTTTTCTTTTTTTTTTAAAACTTAGGATTTTTTTTTTGTAAAAAAATATTTTTTTTAAAAAAGCACCGATCAAAAACAAAAATAATAAAAGTAAACAATAGACTTATTATTATAATAATTGTAAAAATATTAATAATATTTTAAATTTATAATAATAATGAAATAATAAAAATAATAAAAATAATAAAAATAATAAAAATAGTAAAAATAATTGTTTTTTTTTTTTTTTCGTGTTTTTGATAAAAAATTGGGTTGTTTCCTATTAGAAATTATTTATAATAGGTCATGTGTCGCTCCGCCCCATGCGTCACAGGCTCTGGGGCAGGAAAACCCGAGATGCCGTGGAGAAGTGGACACGTAGTCGCAGGAATACGTATAACAGGTTAGAAGGCGAATCTCGTGC